CTGGCCCGACGCAGGGCTGTCGGGCCTGGCTCGCCCGCCAGGCTGGGGACCCGGCTGCGTTCATTTCCGAGGAACTGGAGGCGGGAAGAAGCGGCAGGAGGAGGGAAGGGGGAGGTGGGTCTGGTAGTGAGGGATGTGCCCATTGCCGTGGCAACGGGACAACGCAGGTCGCGGCCATTAGAAGCTCTCCAGCCGCCCTGGATCGGGGTCTCACCTTCTCCTTTGGGGCAGTGGACAAGGAGAGACCTGGGGCCTTTCCTCTCTTCCAAAGGGGACTCCTGCTCTGGGGAAGGAGTCGACGAGGCTACTTCTCCTGCCCTTTGGGATGTGGGTGGCGGAGGGGTGCAGGGAGCTAGCTGGATGGAGGAGCCCTGGGGGGCCTTGTGAGCGGGCTGAATCTAGAAGGAGCGCTGGCCCAGCGGGCACTGTTTCTGAGCACCCACCCTGACTCTGCTGCACGCTGCCTGCTGCGACCTTGGGTCGGACCCTTCCCTGCACTGCGCTCAGCCTCCTTCCTCATCTGTAACACGAAGGGCTGGTCTGAAGATGACCTCTAAGGTCTCCTGTCCCCCATCCGTGACCTTCCGATGCGGTGGCCTTTGGCAAGTCGCCTCGCCTCTCAATGTCTCCCATCTCTCTGTAGAGTCGCATGGAAGCCCACTCTGCCTCCCTGCCCGCCTGAGTGTCCAGTGAGATAGTGGCTTCTTTGGAAACTTGTAAACATCCCCTGAAAGCCTGGGGACCTGGGGGCAACAGTGGGGCTGGCATCAGGGGACAGCTTCTAAGAGGGACATTCGCCGAGCCCTGTGCTGGCCCAGTTGCCACTCAGACCTCCTGTCACCAGATGCTCACAGCGACCCCTGATGATGGGGAGAGGAGTGAGGCTCAAAGAGGCCAAATCATTAGCCTAAGGTCACACATTCAGGAAAAGTCAGAAGCAGGGTTTGAACTCAGGTCCACCTGACCCCAGTGCCTTTTTGCTCCTTTATGCCTGCTCCATCCAGGGAAGAGCTCTCCCTGGACTCGCCTTCCCTCCCTGTGCATGTGTGGGGTTGGCCTGGGAGAGGCCTCACTCTTCGCTCACGGAGCATCCCTCACCTCCATAGGATGAGACCGGGGCCTACCTCATTGACCGTGACCCCACCTACTTCGGGCCCATCCTGAACTTCCTCCGGCATGGCAAGCTGGTGCTGGACAAGGACATGGCTGAGGAGGGTGAGTTGGTTCAGGGGACTGGCCTGGGGCCCACATCCTAGCCTGGCCCTCTGCAGCCTGCCAGGGCCCTCTGTGGAGGCCCCAAGCCATTTGGACAACCAGGATGGCCATCTGCCTGCTTCGTTGTTTCCTGCCTCTTCCCATCCGGACGAGTCTGATTCCCAAGCATCTGCCTGTGCCCAGCCTGGGGCTCTGCCAAGCGGACGGGCTCAAGCTTTCCCAGGGTACTGTCAGGGAGGTGACAAAGACACACGCGCAGGGGATAGAGGAAGTCAGCAATGCCCTGTGGCCTCTGCGGTGGGCTGTGATGCCCTTTCTCTCTGGCCTCCTAGGAAGCCAGATGTGGACCGTCACATCCGGAGGCTGGGGTGACAGGAATTTGGTGTTGACAGGCATGGGGAGAGCGCTCTCTCTCTCTTTCTCTGGCTGATCCAGTATCTCCAATTCTGCCTGGTGAGGGCTTGTAAGTGGGTGGAGCGGGTGACTGTTCACTAAGTCTGGCAGCCTGTGCGGCACAGTGCTGGTTGTGGGTGGAGGCAGGGGAGGGGGGAGTCTGCTTCCCAGTGGGGCTTTGGTTATCCCCAGGCCTAGGTGGCAGAAGCCCTGGATATGCCCATATCTGGGCCTAACAAACAGTGGGGAAGCCATGTCTGGAAGAACGACCTGTTAGCAGAGCCCCAGCCAGGGGCAAGGACTACAGTCAATGCCAAGTTAACTCTTCTTTGGGACACAGGGTGTGGCTCTGGGTCAGCTGATCCAGCCAGACCAGCTTGAACATGTCACTTCTCCTCGCTGCGTCTCCACTGGTATCTGTTAAATGGGGGCGGTGATCTGCCTCCTGGAGGGAGATGTCATGAATCCTGTGCACAGACAGCACCTGCATCTGTGCGTGCCTTCCTGCTCTGGGCCATGGTCTGCCCTCCCTGAGCCCTGTGGGACACAGTGATCTGGAGGCCCAGCAACTCTCTAGCAAGTCAGGGCCGCAACACCAGAGTCCACTGTGGGCACCTGGCCCTGCAGAACCCCACAGCTTCCCTGTTAATCCCTGCGGGAGCACAGATACCATGGGAGTGGCCTAGGCTCAGGAGCAGGCCCCGCCGGGAAGGAAGTAAACATCCAAGCTGTGTCACAGCCAGCACCTGTTTACACGCCCTGCGTTCTCAAAGCCCTGCTATTCCCACACCTGCAGACAGGCCTGCCCGGGGGCTAAGGGATCACGCAGGCCTGCCCGGGGGCTAGGGGATCACGCGGGCCTGTCCGGGGGCTAGGGGATCACGCGGGCCTGTCCGGGGGCTAGGGGATCACGCGGGCCTGTCCGGGGGCTAGGGGATCACGCGGGCCTGTCCGGGGGCTAGGGGATCACGCGGGCCTCTCCGGGGGCTAGGGGATCACGCGGGCCTGTCCGGGGGCTAGGGGATCACGCGGGCCTGTCCGGGGGCTAGGGGATCATGCGGGCCTGTCCGGGGGCTAGGGGATCACGCGGGCCTTTCCGGGGGCTAGGGGATCACACAGGGCTAGGGCTCATCCAGGGGATAGGGGATCTGAGATGAGACTTACTAGCTGTGTGACATTGAGAAAGTGACCTAACCCCTCTGTGCCTCCATGCCCCCATCTGTGAAATGGGGGCCATAGCACCCACCTCACCGAGCTGTCATGAGGATAAAAGGAGTTAATAGCAATGCATCATGGAGTTCAGTGCCTGGCCGGTGGATGTGGGTTGCGGTGCTAGCTGTCTGTCACCTGCAGGGCTTTGCCCAGGGCACTGGGGATAATTCTCGCAATCAGGTAGCAGCACTCCCTGACCTCCTGCTCTGTGTTCGGTCCTGTGTGGGCACCGGGGACAGAGGGCAGATCAGAAATGTGAGCCCCATCTTAGCCATTTCAGGCGGCAATCATGAAGTACCATAGATTGGGTGGCTTGTGAAAATCAGAAATTTATTTCTCTCGGTCCTAGAGGCTAGAAACCCGAGATCGGGTCCTTGTGGCAGCTTCTGGTGAGGACTTTCTTCTGGGCTGAAGACTGCTGACCTCTGGTTGTGTCCTCACATGGCAGAAAGAGAGGCAGCTAGCCCCCGCCCGCCCCTTCTCGAGAGCTTGTTTGGAGGTTCTAGCAGGGCAGCGCAGCTACTCACACACCCTTGACCAAAGACTGGTCCTCTATCGGGGGTGGTCGCCCTCTTCAACGGAGCTGGCAGCTTTGGGAGGGACACACCTGGAGCGGTGAGGGAGGAAGGGGACATGCACCTAGCCAGCCAGATCCGCTAAATCAACCCTGGCGATTCAGTGGGGTGACAGACGTCACAGCCAGATCACCCTCACATCCAATCAATCTTTCTTATAGGAAGACTGATCCCACCCTGGGGACTGTATCCCCTGATCTCATTACCTCCCCTCCTAATCCCATCACAGTTTTCAGCAGATGGATTTTTGGGGAACACACACATTCAGCTCATTTGAGCCCTGTCCCCAGGGAGCCCAGAGGCCAGTCAAGAAAGGGCCCGAAGGTCCCCTGCCTTCTGGGAGCCTAGGGGAGTGGAAACAGCTGGAGGCTCATCGCTTCACTGGTAGGCTGACATCTTCATCTCCCAGATTAACTTAACTGTCAGATGGGGACAGTAAGGCCGGCTCTCCTCACATCCCTGGGACTTGTGATGAGCTCGTGTGGGGTGTTGCAAACTGTAAAGTGAGGCAGTTGGGGGAACGTGTGGTCACAAGGGTATGTACTTACAGTGGGAAGACAAGGGCTCTGGAGTCTGCGGTACTTGAGTTCCCTCTGCCACTTACCAGCTGTGTGACCTTGGACAAGCTGCTTCTCTTTGGGAGCCTCAGTTTTCCCAGTTGTTCAATGCGGATGATGAAAGTACCTCCTTCTAGTTCTGAGAATTCAAAAACGTAATGCGCCTAGCACTTAGAGCGTGCTTCATAAATAGGAGCACATGATCGGGAGTTAGGCAGGGCCCTGCTCATGGTGACATTCTGGGGATCAGTCCCAATGACCCTGCTGTCTCTTGATGGCCCTAAAGCCGCCCCAGACTGTGGCCTGGCAGGTGCCCCTGGGTCACCACGCTCAGCACAGCAGAGCTGTGTGGCAGCCTCTCAGCCCCTTCCACAAGAAGCGTGGGATCCAGTGAAGGAAATGCTCCCTTTCGCTTGACCCCTGAGCTCACAGACACTCAGCTCACCCTCAGGGCGGGTGATCGGAGCAGGAGGTGGGTTCCGGGGTGGAGGGAACAAGAGGAGAATGGGGCATGGAGGCAGAAGGAGTGACCTGGGATCTGTTCTGTCTGTGCCAGGGGTCCTGGAGGAAGCCGAGTTCTACAACATCGGCCCGCTGATCCGCATCATCAAAGACCGGATGGAAGAGAAGGACTACACGGTGACCCAGGTCGGGAGCAGGGGCAACACACACGCCAGGGCAGGGGCCGGTGGGGAGAGGGAGGCTGGGAGACGGGGCGGGAGGCAGAGGAGGTTGGAAAAGACAGGACCAGTGTTTATCATGGGAAGACCAGGCTGGCCTGTAAGGAGAGGCGTGGTTGTTCGGCTCCCAGGCTGCCCAGCACAGCCCCAGACGGGGAGATGGACACTGGGGTTCAGTCCCTGTCTCAGCCCCATTTGCTCTGTGATGTTGGGCCAGGCTCGCCCTCTCTATGGGATAGAGAGGGGTGGGAATGGCACACCCATCCCTTCCTCATAGGCAGAAGGGGGTCAGTGTGGAGGTACAGGGTGCCCTGCAGAGGGCAATGCAGGATTAGCAAATCGTGCATTTCGTGGCATCAGATGTTCGCCTGGTGGGCTCGGCACAGGCTGCTGGGGCTGGCGTTTGTGAGCCTGGAGCCGGGGCCTCCCTGGCCAGTCTGCGGGAAGAGGGAGGGAGATTTTCCGCCTGCTCTTGGGGATGTGTAAGGGTTGGGGGACAGGTGGTGAGGAACCATGTCCCAGGCCCACGGGATTGAAGAGGGGAGGCTCTGTGTCTCCTTGAGGGCCTGACTCCTTGAGGGTGACCCAGAATGTTCCCCAAGCCCCACCCATGTTCTTTCTTGAATTACCTGTGTTCTGGTTCTGTCTTCACCCTTGAGCTGGGTGACCTTGGGCAAGTAACTGGACCTCTCTGAGCCTCAATGGAAAGTCCCATAATGCCTAGGATGCTTGGAAGGATTAAGTGAGATGGCGTCTGGTGAATGTCTGGTGAATGCCTGGTGAGAAGCAGGCACTCAGAGCATGGCTGCCTCTCCGCAGCCACCTCTTCTTTCTCTTCCTCTCTCCTTCTTTGGGTATGTTGCGGGGGTGGTGGCAGGAGGTGCTCATGCCCCTCCTGGGGTGCCTGGTGCTCCCACAGGTGCCCTCTATGTGACCCTTCTGCCCCCAGGTCCCGCCTAAGCACGTGTACCGCGTGCTGCAGTGCCAGGAGGAGGAGCTCACGCAGATGGTCTCCACCATGTCTGACGGCTGGCGCTTTGAGCAGGTGCGCTGGGGACGGGGCGTGCCACCAGGACCACCCTAGGGCTTCCTGGCCTCTGACCAAGCAGGCCCCTCCCTTCCTGCAGCCCCAGCCTTGGGTTCCCCACCACAGTCCCCGCTGCCCCAGGGGTCTTCTGAAATCAAACTAAACAAGGTTAGGAGAGACCACACTTTGTGGCAGGTTAACCGAGAGAGAGAGGACAGGAGCCCCAGTGGCCACAGGGCAGCACGGAGCATCCTTGTTGGTGGGAGTCCTCACAGCAACCAGGTGGTGATCTGTCTGGTGGCATGAGCGAGTCTCTGGCCCCCGAGTGACAGCCCAAGTACAAGGAGACCAGATCCACATAGGTGAGTGGAGTCCACCTGGAGTCAGCGCCTCTTAGAACTGAGTCAGCACCACGTGATCCAGCAGTTCCTGATGCACAGTGTTCAGGGTCTCTGCAGGGGACATGCCCAGCGGCCAGCATTGCAACATGCAGGGGAGCCCAAAGCAGTGACTTCCCGTGAGGTCTTTGTGGTGAGCGATGGTTCCTCCCAGTCCAGATGCAGTTTACCCATCGGGAGATCCTTATCCCAAGGCACTTTATCCCTAGTCATGCAGCTGACCTCCCACCTCTCAGGTTTCCAGAGGAGCAGAGCCAGAAAGTGAGCCCAGGGTCAAAAGTGCCTTTAGAGAAGGAGAGGGTCTTGGCTAACCTTTCTCCACACCCACCCACACGCTCCCTGGCACATGGAGACTGCAAGGCAGAAGGTCGGGGCCCCCAGGATGGCCTGGAGGGATGGAAGAATGGGCCCAGTGCAGAGCCAGAGGCCTGGCTTCACCCCGGGCCTCGCCACGGACATGCCTGCCACGTTGGGCAAGTTGCGTCTCCTCCACAGGCCCATTTCCTCATGGGTGAAGTGGGCTAACAGTACCTCCTCTGTAGGACTGTTGTGAAGATTAGAAGGGCCATCAGTAAAGCTTACAGCCCTCCGTAGGACTCCCTATGTTGGCACTAGTGTCGTGCAAATCATTAGAAATCCATATTGAAGTATGCGACCCTCAGAAAGGACTTGGGACCCCCGATGCCATTCCCTGCTCCACCCCTTCCTGGCTGTGAGGCCTTCAGCAGGCCTGAGAGTCCCTCCAGGGTCCCTGAGAGCTGAATGAGATTCATCACCTGGAAGAACTTTCTTATTTCTTAGCCAGAAGGGCTCTGTGGGCGTGGTTATTCTAGGGACCCTGGAACAAAGGCAGGGCCACTCTGAGAGCCTCTGGGCGTCTCTGGCAATTGCACAGGCTCTCAGAGGCTGAGCCGGCAGGCCAGGGGCCATTGGTCATTTGCCCTTTGGTCTCAGGAGTGGACCACCTGTCCCACTTCTGCTTCCAGGAGTGAAGGGAATATTCTGTAGGGCTCCACCTTGTCAGTGCCACCCTGCAACCTTGTCCTGTGTCAGCCACATCTGGAACGGGGGACAGCCGCCCTTTAGAGGCCTCCGCCTGCATTTAGAGAAGGGCCTCCTGGCTCTGGTGCTAGGCTGGGGGTGCTGGCGGGGACAGCGGTAATGCTGCCACCCTCCACCAGGGATCGGACCAGCCAAGCCAGGCAGAGAGGCTGGTCCTGGGGCACAGACCACAGGCACAGGTTGCAAGGGGGAAGACGCCACCCTCCTGCCCAGAGGTGCCCTCTACAAACCCGGGAGCGGGCCCGGCAAGCCACAAGAGCAGAACCTGAGCTGGTGTCTTGATTTGAGTGCCGAGGTCTGCCCTACCCGGCCCCATGGCCCCCAACACCAACCTGCGTCTTTCTCCCCATGCTCCGCCCCTCTAGCTGGTGAACATCGGCTCCTCCTACAACTACGGCAGCGAGGACCAGGCAGAGTTCCTGTGTGTGGTGTCCAAGGAGCTCCACAGCTCCCCGAATGGGCTGAGCTCAGAGTCCAGCCGCAAAACCAAGGTGAGCCCACCCGCCTCAGCCTGTGTCCAGAGAAGGTTCCTGTCTCCCTCCACCCTCCCCGCCTCTCCCACCCCTGCGCCTGCACCATCCCTCCACCTCTCTACCCCTGCTGCCCATGCACAACCCCATGCTCACAGCCACCGCCATCCATCCCATGCCACCTGCCGTTACCCAGGCCCAGGCTGGGAGCAGTGAGATGAGAGCATCCCGAGGGTGCGGCCGGAGTGGACTCAGAGGCTGCGTGAAGGGGGCCGTGTAGTGGCCACCAGGCACTGTGGCATGGACTAGGGGTCAGGGCGCAGCGTGGCACTCTGTATGACTTAGGACAGGGCTTGTCCTCTCCCGGCACCTTTGCTGTGCTCTCTGAAGTGAGAGGGGAGGATCACGTACTCTTTGTGGTGCCTTGGAGCCTGGAGCTTCTGGGATCCCACATGGCCGTTTATTCCCCAGGGACGGGTACATGTCCCCAGCTGGCCTGCGCCAGGATGGGGAAGCCACCGCTGTAACTCCTGCCCCTTTCCCAGGCCCCCTCCTTGGCCGCTCTGCAGGATGGGGGCAGCCTGGTGGCTGCCAGTCCTGTGTGTCTGCCTGGCCTGTTGAGGCAGCCTCCTGAGAGTGCCCTGGCAGCATCCACTGTACCACTGTGGGGAGGGGGCCGAGCGGGGGTCCTGCCACTCTGGACACAGTGCTGTGGTGGGAAGTCCCAAGGGCCTTCGGCAGAGCCACAGAGCAGGCGTGAACCAGGCTGGGAAGAAGGCAGGCTGCCCCACCTGGGGCCCACCCCTGCACAGTGGAGGCTTATCTCTGGCTTCCTGTCTGTCTGTCTGTCTGCCTCCCTGTCCTGCTGTGACGCACCCTGCCTGCCCACCCACCCCCACCACTGCCAGGGCTGGTGCTGCCCTGCAAGGGTGCAGAGCGAGCCTGCTCCTTCTGCCTTTGTGGGCCAAAGCCCCTGGACCTGGGGTGTCAGAGACCTGGTGGCATCCCAGATCTGGGTGGTGTCTGCCCTGGGGCTTCCTTGGCCACATTTCTACTCAGGAGCAGTCTTTCCAAACAAGGCCTTCCCAGGCACCCCTCAGGGATACCCCAGTCCCACACCCTCCCCGTTCTGCTTCACGCCCTCGCTGTAGCCTCACTCTATGTAACAGCAGCCAGGCTGACCCCAGAGCATGACCACAGCACCCCATCCTCAGCTGCTTTCCCCAGGCCCTCCCCAAGCCGCCCAGGGGACTGGAGAAGATGCCCCCAGCTTCTGTGGCTGGAGCCCTTCCCTCTCCTGAGGTCCCTTTCACCTTGCCTGAGACCGGGTCTTTGGGGATAGCCAGCAGGCCCTGGCCCCTCTGTTAGTGTCTCCACTCTTTCTTCCCTGGGTCCGCCGGCTGGTTCACAGAGCACGGAGGAGCAGCTGGAGGAGCAGCAGCAGCAGGAGGAGGAGGTGGAGGAGGTGGAGGTGGAACAGGTGCAGGTGGAGGCAGATGCACAGGAGAAAGGTGCAGCCAACCCCCAGGAGGATGATTGCTAAGCAAAGTCGGAGCCTCCCGCCCACTCCCTGCTGGAGCCAGCTGCAGAACCGGGGGCCCCGGGGCTGCTGGGGGGGCACCAGGGTTAGCTCAGCCACTTGCCTGGCGCCTCACCCGCATAACCATCCCTTCTCTCACTTTCTCTTTGCAGCCCAGTCATCTCAGGATCCCGCTAACCTTTTCTCCCTCCCACCACTGCCTCCTCCTCCGCTTCCCGCTGGAGGTCCTGCCTCATCTTCATCCACCTCTTCTTCCTCCTGGATCTCATCTGCACCCTGCCTCTTCCCTCTCTGCCCCTGTCCGGGTTTTCTCTCTGCCTGCTCACGCCTCCATCCCGGGTCTGCCCTGGTCCCAGCCTCCCGTGCCCTCCACCCAGGCCCCCTGGCCCTGCATCCCAGAGCGTCCTGCCTGCCGCCTCCTGCGCCCCTTCTGGTACCTCCTGCCTCCCAGCCCGGGGAGGAGGGGCGCAGCTGCACCTCCTCTGTGCCCACCAACCCTGCCGGGCACCACTGAGGCTGGGCCCCGGCCGCAGGCCCTGCCCCGCCTCCTCTCCTCCCGGCCTCCTCCTCACGTTTCCTCCTTGCAGGTTCCCGTCCGCACTCTCTCAGACCTGAGGCTGAGCTTGCAGTGAGGGCTTCTCCTCGGCCCCTCGCCCGCCCCCAGAGCTGCCATCCCTGGTTTGTAGCTTGGCGGTGCTGGAGGGAGGGGTGGAGCGAGGAGGGTGCTCATCTCTTGATGCTTGGACTTGAGCCGAGCTTTCGGCTGATTATCTCCACCCACCAAAGTTTCTCATCCGACCTTGGCCTTGGGGGTGAAGCTCTGAGAGAAGAAAGTTAGGGAGTGGGAACTTTCCCACCAGCCCATCAGCACCAGAGCCAGGCTTGCGGGGAGGGAGGGACCCGCTGAAGCCAGAGGCCTTGGCCGAGTCCCTGCACATCCAGGAGCTCCTGTGTCACTGCCTTGTGGCATCCCCTATTTCTGTGGGGATGGGGAGGACAGGCCACTTTTGGATACCCTTGGCCTATGAAGTGTCAGAGCTGGCTTAAGGATTGCAGAGTGTCAGAAAAAAACCTGGCCACATGCCCACAAGCCCCCACCCCAGTCTTTTCTTCCTGCTGTGTGACTTTGGGCAAGTCACTGTCCCTCTCTGGGCCACAATTGCCTGTAAAATGGGGACAAACAGCTGCTCTCCGTGGCTCCTTTCGCCTGGGGCATCAGTGCTTTTCCCAGCCTGACCAACCCCCATCCCACCCCCTTAAGAGTCTTGGCAGAATCTGGCCTCTGTAGGTGGCTGCCACTGAGCCCAAGACAGGGCATGGGGCTCCTGGATGGGTTAGTTGGGCACCCTTCCTGCTCCTCCCCCACTCAATTCTGAATCCACCTTCTCTGGGCCTCAGCCCCATCGCCTTCTCCAGAAGGAAGCCTGTGACTCAACTGCCTCTCTCTCTCTCCCTCTCCCCGCCCCTTCAATCTCCTCCACCCCCTGGCCCTGCATCACCCCCTCCTTACCGGCCCCACCTCCGTCCCTCCCATCCTCCTGTCCTTCCCCTCTTTTTTTTCTAGCTGTTACAAGCCAGAGGCACCCGGATGTGAGGCCCCAGATCACCTCCAGGGACTTGGGGTTCCCATCTGAAATCCTTTATTTTTGTACCATGGGGTGGGCCCCGGGCCTGAGAAGGAAGAAGCCTCCTCTGTCTGCACCTGTGGGGCTGTGACTTACCCCTGCCTCCAGGGCCGGGGCGGGGCGGGGGCCCCCGGGACCTCTTAAGGCCCAAGGTGGGCCCCAGGATCTCTGGGCAGAGCCGACTGCTCATGGCGGACGTGTGGCAATGTCTGGCTGTGTCTCTCCAGCCCCCGCGTCCCCTTTCCCGGGCTCCCCTGCTGCATGGCGGATGCACTCCTTCCTGGCCCAGTCACATCGCCTCCTTGAGCCTTAGTCCAGGGGGTAACTCCTCCCACCCCACCTACCTCACAGGGTTGTTGTGAGGGTGCACAGAGGAGCAAGGTCCCTGAAGGCCCTCGGGCAGTATATAGGGGCCGCCCACCTTCAGCTGCCCTGGGATGGGAAGGACCCAGCCCAACCCCTGGGCGTAACACTGTGTTTGCAAATGGAGATTCAGGTATTGGGGATGCAGGTTGTGGGGAGCTGGCCTGTCAGAGTAGGGGTAGGTGGCTTGGCCTTCACCTTGGTGATCCCATCCCCAGCCATTTGCATTGCTGGCCCAGCGCCTGGCCTGGGGGGCGGGGAGAGGCAGCAGAAGGGGCTGGGCAGGGGCGGTGGAGGACTCAGGAACTGCCCGGGGAGAGTGGGTGTGGCGGCTGAGCCAGCGGCCGTCCTGTGTTTGAATTCCTGGGATGGGTCCTTGCTTCTCGGCTATGTCGGACCCCACCGTGTAATAAAACCCGAAGGAACAGCCCAGCCTGGCTGTCACCCTCTCTTTCTCTGGGCCACTTTTGGGGAACTCAAGGTGTGGTAGACTGGCCCAGAGGAATGCAGCTTTCTCCTGAAAGCCCAGGGACGCTGCCCTGTTGTCATTTTCCTGGGTGTGTTGCAGGGAGGGCTTGGGGAACTGGCTACATCCTTTGCCCTGGGGCCAGATACCAAAGCACCTGCCCTACCTGGCCAGGAGCCAGAAAACAGAACTCTAGGGAGAGCCCTGGGCTGCCTCTGCCACATCCTAAACCGCTCAGGACGCCGCCACCCCCACTTCTATTCTAACACCTGGGCCACCTCCGTCCCTCCCTATTGCTGCCACCCCTCTGCCCGAAATCCCGGGAAATATAAACACCCCGCCCTCTCCTTTCTCTGAGCCTGCTGGACCCAGCCCAGACCCCAGACCTCCACCCACCCTGGCCAGTTCCTTCAACTCCCCAGTCCTGCCGAGCCTCCCCGCTGCTCGAGGAAATCCTGCCGGGCAGTGAGCCCCTAGGGTGCAGGCCCTCCATAGGCTGGGGCAAGGGCACCCTCTTGCCAGCTCAAGCCTGGAGGGCCTCGCCACTTCCCCTAAGGATGTTCCACTTCAAAGCTGACCTCACTTTTGGGGTCCAACTATGCTTGCAAGAGTCGCCAGGAGGCTTGTTAGGAGAACAGATGACATCCCCCACCCCTCCAGGATTCCGATGAAGACTGGGGTAGGGCCCACGGTGATTCCAGATCACCCAAGGGATTCTGCATGTGTTCTGCCCACCTGCTCTGGAGACGCCCCCTGCTCGCCCAGCTGCCCCGGCTCCTCCTGGCAGGACCCAGGTGGGTGCTTCCCGTCCCTGGTTCCCCTTCTGCCTCATTCACCCACAGACCTGGCAGCAGCGCCCATGTTGGAAAAATCCCTCTTCAGTCTAGGGCCCCTCTGAAGCGCCCTCTGTCCCTTCCGCTCCCAGTTAGGCTTCCAGAAAGAGTTGTCCACACTTGAGCACCCACCCTCACCTCCAGCAGGCCCCCTGGCTCCGTCACAACTGCCCTCAGGGGTCCGAAATCATCCTCCAGTCCATCCCGTGGCGCCGCTCAGTCCCGGCCCCTCCTCTCCTTCCCGGAATCCTGCAGTGGCCTAACCAGCCTCCCTGCTTGCCACTCCCTGCACACTGGTGCCAAGGCTGGTTCCAAAATGTGAATCCACTCATGTCACCCCTATGCTATAGAGCCTACCATGGCTCCACAGAACTTGCAGGGTCAAATCCTTGGCTCAGCTCCAGGCTCTGTTATCCCGCCTCAGTTTGCCCCTCTGAATTCTTCAGTCCTTCCCCTCTCAAGCTCTGTTCTAACACTCACTCGGCTTGCTGGGTCCTAGCGTGTCTCATTCTTCCGGGACTCTGTGCCTTTGCACATGCTCTTCCCCTGCCTGGAATATCCCTCCCGGATATTCCCACCTTGACTACTTCTGAACCCCAGCTCAAGTCTCACAGCCTCCAGGCAGCTTGCCTTGACTTGCCCGGTCTGCGCTCCCCTCCATCCCCTTCCCACTGGATCATCCCCATTGCTTCTGGGGTCAGGAGCTAGGTCCTTCACCCCTGTGGCCCCAGCACAGTGCCTACTCAATGACTCAAAGAATTCAAAGGGAATGAGTGTCGCGCTGGAGGGGGCCATGGCAGACGGGGAACTGGGAGACAGGAGTCTATGCCACCTCCACTCCTAACCCCCAGTGCCACCGTGAGGATGTCTTAACCGCCTCTCTCAGCCTGTTTCCTTTAAGGTTCCAAAAGGAGACCATTGCTCCTCACATCCCTCCCTGTGACCTGAGGGTCCCCAAACGATTGCCTTCCCAGCATTTCTCCTGGGACCTGGGCAGCTGCCCCAGAGGCCCCAGCCCTCAGTGGCCACGCCTGCTGCCACTGAGCCCACCTTGGCCTTCTGGACACTTATCAAACAGGCTGTGCTGGAAGCAGGGACTGCTTCAGTCAAGGGCATGAGGCTGGTGCCCGGGTCCCCATTCAAACTCCAGCAGAGGGGCTTGGATCAGGCAGCTTTATTCCAAAGGGCAGCTGAGCTCACCTGCTGGTGAGGGTCTGGGCTGTGAGGGGCCAGGTGGCAGGCAGGGGTGGGGCAAGGACCTTGGAGTCAGGGCTTCCCCACCTTTTTTGGCTTACGGTGGCAGCCGGCCCACCTGGCAGTCCCCAGGGCTGTGAGGGTCCCCTCCTATGGGGGCACCTTCCATTCCCAGATCCCAGGTTAGACCAGGGGCTTCTGAAGCTGGCGTCTGCTCTCTGGAGGCAAGGCTGCCCAAGCAGCCTCTGTACAGAGTGGGGCACAGCTCAGACACTCCTGGGGACGTAGAGCCAGCATTCTTGCTGCTGAGCCACTTCCTTGCAATAGGCAGCAGTGGAGGAAGGGGACGGAGGAGAGAGAATCGGGAGGCAGAAGGGCTGGGTGTGGGCCTGGGTCCCCAGGGGACGTCTTGACCCCCCAGCTGCTGGCACTCCATCCTCCTGCCATCACTGGAGCAGACATCAGGGACAAGACAAGATGCTACCTCCTGCCACCACAGGGCCCACTCGCGCCCCCCTCCCCCCCCCAGAATACTTGTCCCCCGGCTTGGCAATTGCCCTGGGCTCTCTGAGTCCAGGAGGTGGGACCTGCTCTGCAGGGGGGCAGTCCCTCAGGTCACCACTTGCTGGATCCAGCCGATCACACCTGTGATGCGGGTGTAGACACCGAAGTAGTTAGGCCGGCCACAGCCCAGGCCCCAGCTGACCAGCCCTGCCAGGAACCAGCGGCCACTGAGTGCCTTGCATACCAGCGGACCACCCGAGTCACCCTGAAAGGGGAAAAGGAGAAAGGACTGAAGCAGGGTAAGGGCACCCCCTTTCCAGGCGAGGGGCCATGGGGATTAAGTCCTGACTGTTGGGAATTGACTGGGTGCCAGAGACTCACGTTCAGTCTTAAAGCTCTGCTTTTTCCTCGCCTGCTAAATGGAGAGAGCCCAAGCCAGCTCTCTTTGTCCTCCAGCCAGCCTGGGCCCTCCTGGAACTGTGGCTGTGTCCCCACACCCCTACTCCGCCTCCGCCACCCTTCTGTGGCTGACATGCCTTTCTTTTTCCTTGCATCCACCTCACTGTGGGACCCTGGGCCTAGTGCCTTGTGATGGGCAAGGAGCAGAACTGGGTTTGAGCCTAACACCTGCCCATCACAGCATCTCTTCTGATCCATGGCTCTGCAACCTTGGGCAAGCTCCTCAACCTTTCCAACCCCCAGTCTCCTCTTCTGTAAAGTGAGGGCGGCCATCGCCACCTTGCTGGGAGGATGGAAGGCTTCAGCAGGCTGATGTGAGCATAGGGCCAGACCCTGATGATGTGAGCAGCATCCTTTCTGCTTTCTCCCTCCCACGCTGGGGGTACTCACCTGGCAGGCATCCTTCTTGCCCTTGCGGTAGCCGGCACACAGCATGCGTGGCGTCACCTGGTAGCGATAGGCCTCGCTGCACAGGTCCTGTGGGATCAACTGCACGTCCACTTTCTGCAGAGCATTGCTGGTGGGGCCTGTCCGTGGTCAAGGGCAGAAGTGAGATCTAAGGAACCTGGAGCACCTGTTCTCCTCCCTAATGCTCCTTTGCATCTCAGGAGCCTGCTTCTCTCCTGCTCTGCCCACCCTTACCTCTGCTGGGGTTGCACCTGCCCCTCTGCCTCCCTGTCACTTTATTCTAGCTCTTTCTCTGTGGGGTTCATGGAGACAGTGCCCCTGACCAAAGCCCATGTGGAGAGCCAGGCACGTGGCTCACGCCTGTAATCCCAGCACTTTGGGTGACCGAGGCGGACAGATCACCTGAGGTCAAGAGTTCAAGACCAGCCTGACCAACATGGAGAAACCCTGTCTCTACTAAAAATACAAAATTAGCTGTGTGTGGTGGTGCATGCCTGTAATCCCAGTTACTCAGGAGGTTGAGGCAGGAGAATCGCTTGAACCCAGGAGGCAGAGGTTGTAGTGAGCCAAGATCATACCATTGCACTCCAGCCTGGGCAACAAGAGCGAAACGCCTCAAAAAAAAAAAGAAGCCCGTGTGGATGAGTGTCTTACTCCAGCGTCTTGTCCCCCACCTCTGTCTGCTCAGGCACCTCTGGGCTCTGGCTGGCTCTTCACTGCTATGTTACAGCACCTGGGGATGTCTCCAAAGCCCACATCTTACCCCTTCACTGTTTCCTTACAACTCTGCGGAGCCCCAACTCTGCAGTCCACCCCAGTGCTTCTCCAGGAGGGCTGCATATCACAGTCCCCTGGGAAGCCTTGATACAAGGGTTTTTCTTGAAGCTCCACGCATGGTTCTAAGGTGCAGGTAGGAGGGAGAACTCCTGGCCCAAGATCCTTACACTGGCTGGCAAGGCCCTGTCTGCCCTTCTGGCTGCTCCTTGCCCAGGCACACCTGCCCCCGACCTTGGCCCCTCTGGCAGGCTGCGGATGTTCTCAGGTCTTCCTGTCTTGGCACCTGTGTCTTCACCTGAATGTCTTTTCCCTTTGTCTGGATGTTGCCAACTCATCTTCCAGGCCTCAGCTTAAACAACCCTCCCCTAGAAGCCTCCCTTGACCCTACCTAGGCAGGAGCCTCCTCTGTGTCTCCACTGTCCCTGCACCTCCCCATCCATGCCAGCCCTTATCACTGTCTGTCTCCCCCGAGAATGTTCTCTCCATCCTGATGTACCCTTCCCTTAACCCCATACCTGGTACATAGCTGGTGCTCAGAAAGTGTCATTGAGTGACTGAATGAGTGAAGGAACAGTGAATGAACCAGCCTTTGCTTCGCCATGACCTCTGCCATCCCCTTGGGTAAGTCACTGTTCCTCTGAGCCTCAGTTTCCCCATCCTCAAAATATCTCTGCAGCCCTGCCTGCCTCCAGATTGTAAGTCACTGTACACATTTGTGAAGCCACCAACACTAAGGCTGCAGGGCATGTCTGTAGGTTTGCCAGCTGGGTCTGTGTCCCCAAAACTGTACG